TTTATAGCCATTGCAGTGTCCCCATGGTCATCTGATCAAAAGGCACTGGGGAATTCTGACAGTTGAAGTCCAAACATCTTAAAGTTGCCAAGATTGAGAAACCCTATTTTTGGCAGACTTAGTTTGTATTGCTCTCTTCAGGTTTGCAAATCTTGATTCAAAGCTCAAAAGGCTGCTCCTAGCTCAAACTGTGATCCTGCAAATATGTAATTATTGAAAAAAATCCCAGCAACTCATAAGCAGAATGAGATTTCCCATCTTCTCCACAAAAATCCCTCATCTTCCCCAATTAATAAACCTAACATCAATTACATGCTCACATTCATGTGTCTGATTACTGCATAAATTTTCTGTCTCAGAAAATGGTGTTATGATTTTTACAGCAAGTGCATTTTCTCTTGGTAAACTAAATGTTATATACTTCAATAACTGCTGTAACACAACAGCTACCAAACAGATGAACTGGATTGAAATTGCTTAGTGGAAAATTGCAAGAAGGTTCAATTACACTTGAATGCAAGCAATCAACAATCAATTTTAATTGTGGCCTGCGTTAGCAATCATTATGATTTGAGACAAGACATAAAAATAACTTTAGTAAATAAACAGCCAAGAGTCCCAGTGCGATTTGAGAAAATACAGGTTTCTGCCATGGCAGATTCAGATCATATAGTTAGTTCTCAACTTACAACCACAGTTGGAACCAAAAATTCTGCTGCTAAACAACACAGCTGTTGTGTGAGTTGCACCCAGTTCTATAACCTTTTTTTTGTCACAGTTCTAAGCAAATCACTGCAGTTGTTAACTGAATCATATGGTCATTAAGCAAATCCAATTTCCCTCCCTTGACTTGTGCTTGATGGAAACAGTCTGGGCTATTGCAGTCATCATAAATAGATAGAGAAAATAGAGAATAATAACTTTATTGTCACTTTGAATGTAGACTAATCGGCATATATTAAAATGAAATTTCATTACATACATCTCTCAGAGGATCACCACCTCCAATATACACTCCATAAATATGTCAAAAATAAATAAATAAATAAATACAGAATTATGCATATACCCACCTATATTATATGACACAGAGAAACACCACAATCTAGTTGAGATTATGTATACACGTGCATGGTGAGAAAAACTACTTTTGCGAGTTTACCGGAAGGATGGCATAGGGAACAAAGCTATTACCGAATCGGGTAGTCCTGCTAGAAATACTTCGGAATCTCCTCCCAGAGGGGGAGCAACAGAAACAGACCGTTAAGTGGATGTGTGGGGTCTCTAACAATGCTTTGAGCTCTAAGCACATAGCGCTTATAAGCAGCATCCTGAATAACGAAAAGTGAGCTTCCTATGATCTTCTCAGCTGTCCTTACCACCTTCTACATGGACCTTTCATCTGTTGACCCAGAATTAGGAGACAGCATAGGAAGTATCAATTGTGAATATGTGCAGATGGTCCTGCTGTCTTTGGGCACTTGCAGAGTCATGGATGCAGGGTCATGAAAGGACAACAAGGAAAACACCCACCCGGGAATGTACAATGTCTTTAGGGAAACACCCAAAAGAGAACATTTTTAGCTATTTCTGCTCCCCCCCCCTTCTTATCTACAGTGTGCCAGACTTACTGGGTGAAATCTTTATCTTATGTGTGTCAGCTTTGCTGGGTGGATTGCTTATGTAATCAGACAGAATAAATACAAGGATTTCTTGTCATTCGGGGCTTCTCTCTTTTAGAGGAGCCCGTCTTAGTTCAGCTGAATAAAAATGTAAAGCTTAAAGGCAGCTTCGGTTTCCTGTATTTTTTTTTTATCAAGCAAAACCTCAGAACCTGCACAGCATATCTGAGGCACTGCTGCCACCAAACCAGACAATGATGAAGTTTGTTAGTCGTGCCTCTGTAAAAAGTGGCCAGGACAGAAGGAGAAAGATGTGCTCTCCTCATCTGACACATATATGACAGTTGCCAAGAAATAACTATAAATATAAACAAAGCTATAGGAGAGAGATTTGGGCCAGTCACTCTTTTTCAGCCTAAGCTACCTCACAGACCTGTTGTTGGGAAATTAAGATGAAGGAACAATATAGATCAGACATGTCAAACACAAGGCCCGGGGGCCAGATGCGGCCCACGAAGTGGTTTCATGTGGCCCGTGAAGCCATCCTGGAAACAGTGAGGGAATGGCCCCCAGTGCCTTGGCCCTGGCCCAGGCCGGCCGGGAACCAATGTACAATTTTGTGGTGGCCATCTATGCTGAAACGCATTCAGTCTTAGCTCCAGAAGGCTGTCCAGAAACAGCGAGGAATCAGCCCCTGCCGCGTTGGCCCCGTCCCCTGGTACATGCTGGGGAGGTGTCACCCTTTGTGAGGAATGAAGAAATGGGCCATGCCTTGGTGCTTGCCCTGGTCCCACCCCCTTCTGCCAGAGACCCTCAGATCTGTCCCACTCCTGCCCAGGCCCCCACAGGCACCCTTGACGCGAATGATGTAGAGCTGGCCATGCCCACTCAGTAGGCCACACCCACTCCATCCACGCCCACCCAGTAGGCTGCACCCACCCTGACCACACCCACCTGGCCCCCCAAGAGCAACCGCAATGCTGATGCGGCCCTCAATGAAATTGAGTTTGACACCCCTGATATAGATGCTCGCCACCTTGAATTGGCATCTATGTATGGTAAGAGAAAAATGTAACAATAATCATCTCACATACAATACAGGTAGTCCTAGACCTATGATCACACCTGAAGCCAAAATTTCTGTTGAATTTTGCCCCATTTTTCGACATCTCTTGCCACAGTTAAGTGAATTCTTGTAATTGTTAAATTAGTAACGCGGTTGTTAAGTGAATCTGACTTTCCCATTGACTATGCTTGTCAGAGGTTCGTAAAAGATGATCACATGACCCTAGGACAGGGGTAGGCAACCTTGGCTCATTTATGACTTGTGGATTTCAACTCCCAGAATTCCTGAGCCAGCATAGCTCAGCTTGGAAACTCTCCCTTTCCCCTCAGCATGGCTGGCTCAGGAATTCTGGGAGTTGAAGTCCACGAGTCATAAAAGGGCCAAGGTTGCCTGCCCCTACCCTAGGACAGTCATGGCGAACCATTTAGAGACCATTGCCCCAAAACCACCTCTGCCCCATTCCGCCCCTGCTCTGCTCCATCCCACCTGCTCCGCTCCGCTCCACCCCCACCCCACCCACCCGCGGGGCCAATCTCCGCCTCCATGGCCCACCGCAGATCACCCAGGCGGCCCAGCTGTGCCATGGTGGCCATGCCCTCTGCCCGTGCCCCACAGCATCAACTGTGTGTGACAGGGCGTGATGGTGGAGTCTTGTCCCCGCTGCCTGGCTGCCATGTCCTTGGCTGTGCTGCTGGGGCTGCTGGTGAGGAGGGGGCTGCGGGGGAAGGCGGGGCTGGGGCAATGGCGTGCGTGCCCACAGAGAGAGCTCTGAGTGCCGCCTCTGGCACGTGTGCCATAGGTTCGCTACCACTGCCCTACGACATTGCAACCATCATAAATATGAACTTTCCAAATTTTCCAAACCTTCCAAATTTTGACCACATGACCATAGGAATGCAGTAAGTGCGGAAACAGTCATAACTCACATTTTTCAGTGCTCTTGTAATTTGAACAGTCACTAAACAAAAGGTTGTAAGTCAAGAATTATCTGTATAGCCATTCTGAGGGATCCTCAAGCCTGACAAAACAAGGTTTTGTGGCTTAAAATAACCCTGAAACTCAAGAAGTATTGAAAGAATGGGAGAAACCCTGAATGAATGAATGATGCATAAGCCTGGTAGAGCAAACACAGTCACGGGCAGCCTCAACACTCTTATTTATGAATAAATGCTATAGATTAAGACAATTACTGTAAGACAGTTCTTTCTGAATAGACCTGCAGAACAACAGAATAACAGAGTTGGAAGGGACCTTGAAGTGTTATTATGGGATATTATGGGAGCTGAAGATCTAGTCCAACCCCCTGCTCAAGCAAGAAACCCTATACCATTTCAGACAAATGGCTGTCCAGTCTCTTCTTAAAAACTTCCAGTGTTGGAGCATTCCCTGCTTCTGGAGGCAGGTTGTTCCACTGGTTAATTGTTCTCACTGTCAGGAAGTTTCTCCAGGTTGCTTCTCTCCTTGCTTAGTTCCCATCCGTTGCTTCTTGTCCTGCCTTCAGGCGCTTTGGAGAATAGCTTGACTCCCTTTTCTTTGGGGCAGCCCCTGAGATATTGGAACACTGCTATCATGTCCCCCCATGTCCTTTTCTTCGTTAAACTAGACACACCCAATTCCAGCAACCGTTCCTTACATGTTTTAGCCTCCAGTCTCTTAATTATCTCTGTTGCTCTTCTCTGTACTCTTTTTAGAGTCTCAACATCTTTTTTTATATCGTGGTGACCATAAGCATGCCGGGGAGGGGGATGGATCGGCCACTGATTCCGGCAAGGCTCTGCAAGGGAATATTAATAGAATAGAATAGAATAGAATAGAATAGAATAGAATAGAATAGAATAGAATAGAATAGAATAGAATAGAATAGAATAGAATAGAATAGAATAGAATAGGGAATTAAGAATGATTAGGAATAGAATAGAATAGAATAGAATAGAATAGAATAGAATAGAATAGAATAGAATAGAATAGAATGGCATGGCATGGCATGGCATGGCATGGCATGGCATGGCATGGCATGGCATAGAATAGAATAAAATAGAATAGAATAGAATAGAATAGAATAGAAGGGATCTTGGAGGTCTTCTAGTTAATGGTGAGGTTCATTCTTCACAGATTATTTTCCTCAGGAGCGGAGGAGATTCGTGGAGGCGGGAGGGGCGCAGCTTTGTTTTTAGGTTTTAGTAACGTGGTTTCCCTGTGCGATTGGTGAGCTGGGCTAGGGGGGAGGAGTCAGAGCATGATGCTTCCGAGCGATTGGCTGCGCCAGGGGAGGGGGCGGGGCTCGGGATGACAGTAGCTAGACAGCGGGCCGTTGCTAGGGACGCGGCGGGCCGTTGCTAGGGACGCGGCTAGCCGGCTCCCCACGAGCGTGTGCGGCATTGCGGGATGGCGGGCGTGGAGGGCGACGATGCCGGCGCTGTCTTGGATCACATCGTCACCCAGTTTAACACTTACGAGGAGTATCTGGATTCTCAGATCACCACGCAGGACCTCTTTTATCTGGAGGTGAGTGTTCCTCCCTTGCATAAAGTGCCTCTGAGCATGGACTGAGTACAGGCTCTTCCGTACCTGTACAATGCAACACTCGTCTCTGAAAGCGAGCAGAACGGAACTCGCCAGCAGAGCCTCTGATAGGGTTAAAGATTTGTCCCACTCGACAAGGACTTTATCATTGATGTTTTGGTTGAGTTTGCACAATTTACTGAATCGTAAGCTGATCAAGTGGGTCGGGTTTACACAAAAGTATCCCATCACAAACCCACCAAGGTTAACACTAACCGAGTTTTTAGCCTGTTGCCCAAATGGATATACTGTCCTAAAAATAAACTGGCGAAGCCTCTTATATTTCACAGCTGGAAACACATGCTTGAATGTGACCAACATTTATTTATTTATTTATTTATTTATTTATTTATTTATTATTTTATTTATTTTATGAGACTTATATACCGCTTTAAGTGCAAGCACTCTCTAAGCGGTGTACACCAGTAAGCAATGTATATATATATATTTACATTGCCCCCAACAATCTGGGTCCTCATTTTACCTACCCCGGAAGGATGGAAGGCTGAGTCAACCCTGAGCCGGTGAGATTTGAATCGCTGACCTGCTGAACACAGTCAGCTAATTTGGCCAATATTCTTGACAAGCGGCCACAGAATTTGCCCTAAAAGTAGAATTTACACTTGTGCTTTTTCTCTCTCTCCCCCTCCCTTCCTCCCCCCTAACACACAGACACACACACACACTACAGACACACACGCTTTAGGGCCTGCAGCATGCCTGAAGCAGATTACATGATTTGTTGTAAAGGTAGTCCTCGACTTACAAACACAACTGAGCCCAATTGTGAGACATTTTGCCCCATTTTACAATCTTTCTTGCCACAGTTGTGAAGTGAATCACGGCAGGTGCTAAGTTAGTACCACGGCTGTTAACTGAAATCCGGCTTCCCCATTGGCTTTGCTTGTCAGAAGGTTGCAAAAGGGGATCACGTGACCCTGGGACACTGCAACCATCATAAATACGAGTCAAATGCTAAGAGTTGAATTTTGATCACATGACCGTGGGGCTGCTGCAGTGATCGTAAGCGTGAAAAACGGTGAGAAGTCACTTTTCCAGTGCCATCGTGACTTGGAACAGTCACTAAATGAACTGTTGTAAGCTGAGGACTACAGCTGTAAGTTGAGGACCACAGTGAGAAAGCCGGAAATCATATCATTCTGGTCAAAGACTTGCTCAGCTCCCATTAGGTGCTTAGGTCTGCTCTGGGAACTCTTCCTCCTTGTCCGGTGGCTGGGCACTGCTTCTCTGGCCATTTAAGTTTGCACTTCCAAAGGGACTAGGTCCAGGGGTAGGCAACCTTGGCTCTTTTATGACTTGTGGACTTCAATACCCAGAATTCCTGAACCAGCTGCTGGCTCAGGAATTCTGGGAGTTGAAGTCCACAAGTCATAAAAGAGCCAAGGTTCCCTACCCCTGGACTAGGCCTCTGGTTTATGACTTCCTGGAAAGACTGACATTTAACTGACATTAGCTGTATTTGGACAATGACTTCACGAGGTGCATGATGTTACTGTGGCTTCTGCCAGATGCTTTTGGTTTGGACTGAAGTAGAACAATGGATAAAGCAGTGTGGCTGTCAAAGAAGGCCATTTTTCAAGAAGCAGGTCAAGAAAAGATCTCATGTCTGCTGTTTCCTCCTGAAATCCATTCACACATCATATTTTGTTGTTGTGGTTGTTAGTTGTGAAGTCGTGTCCGACCCATCGCGACCCCATGGACAACATTTCTCCAGGCCTTCCTGTCCTCTACCATCTTCTGGAGTCCATTTAAGCTCACGCCTGCTGCTTCCGTGACTCCATCCAGCCATGTCATTCTCTGTCGTCCCCTTCTTCTATTGCCTTCAATCTCAATCCTATTTGCATCCTACTTATTATCAGTCTTCTTGCCCTTCCAAGCCAAATCACATTTTGTGTGGTGTTGTATTCATACCATATGATTGATATGTGTATGTGTATTTCTTTTGGGTGGGGTGGGGGTTGTGCAATAGTGTGCGTTCTGTTTCATGTTTTATGAAGGGGTCACGTGATCCCCTTTTGTGACCTTCTGACAAGCAAAGTCAATGGGGAAGTCAGATTCACTTTACAACCGTGTTACTAATTTAACAACTGTCTCACTTAACAACAGTGGAAAGAAAGATTGTAAAGTGGGGCAAATCTCACTTAACAACTGTCTCGCTTAGCAATGAAAATTTGGAGCTCAACTGTGGTCATAAGTTGAGGTCTATCTGTAATGGCTTGATGGTAGTTTATGATTTATGATCCTGAGAAATATGCTAAAAAATAAGACTGGATGGGTGGCCATTGTTTTTCCCAGCTATAATAATAATAATAATAATAATAATAATAATAATAATAATAATAATAATAATAATAATAATAATAATAATAAAGTTGGAAAGTATCTTGGAGGTCATCTAGTCCAACCCCTGCTCAGGCAGGAAACCCTATACCATTTCCGGCTGTCCAATCTCTTCTTAAAAACTTCCAGTGTTAGAGCATTCACAGCTTCTGGAGGCAGGTAGTTCCACTGATTAATTGTTCTAACTGTCAGGAAATTTCTCCTTAGTTCTAGATTGCTTCTTTCTTCGGTTAGTTTCCATTTGTTGCTTCTTGTCCTGCCTTCAGGTACTTTTGCGAATAGCTTGACTCCCTCTTCTTTGGGGCAGCCCCTGAGATACTGGAACACTGCTATCATTTCTCCCCTCATCCTTCTCTTCATTAAAATAGACATACCCAATTCCAGCAACCGTTTTAGCCTCCAGCCCCCTAATCATCTTTGTTCCTCTATCTCTCCACTGGTGATTGTTGGTGTTGAAGCTGCATGCATTTAATTCTAGGGGATTAAGGAAGGCTAATAAATTTGGAAGGGGCCTTAAAGGTCATCTAGCTCAAACCCTCTGCTCAATGCAACATCCCCTAAAATACCACTCTTTAATGCCTTGGTAAGGCCACACTTGGAATACTGCATCCAGTTTTGGTCACCACGATGTAAAAAAGATGTTGAGACTCTAGAAAGAGTACAGAGAAGAGCAACAAAGATGATTAGGGGACTGGAGGCTAAAACATATAAGGAACGGTTGCTAGAATTGGGTATGTCTAGTTTAACGAAGAGAAGGACAAGGGGGGACATGATAGCAGTATTCCAATATCTCAGGGGCTGCCATAAAGAAGAGGGAATAAAGCTATTTTCCAAAGCACCTGAAGGCAGGACAAGAAGCAACGGGTGGAAACTAATCAAGGAGAGAAGCAACCTAGAACTAAGGAGAAACTTCCTGACAGTGAGAACAATTAATCAGTGGAACAGCTTGCCTCCAGAAGCAGTAAATGCTCCAACACTGGAAGTTTTTAAGAAGAGACTGGACAGCCATTTGTCCAAAATGGTATAGGGTTTCCTGCCTGAGCAGGGGGTTGGACCAGATGACCTCCAAGGTCCCTTCCAACTTTATTATTATTATTATTATTATTATTATTATTATTATTATTATTATTATTATTATTATTATTATTATTTTTGCCAATTCATGATTCAGCCTCCGATGATGGCTTGTAGCATTTTCCTGCAACAACCAGCTTGGCCTTATTGAAATCCTTTGATAAAGGGAAGGCCATTATTTTCCATATTGTCCTTTGAAAGCGGATGTTTGCCTTTTAAAACGCTGTTCCTTGAAACCTGTGACAACTCAGTGTTTTCTGGAACCTCCTGATGGATGTGGACTCATGAAATTGGACTGTAGTTCTTCAGGTTTGCCACTAGGTGGAGATATTTCACTTTTGTTTAAAATGTGTTGCTATTCCTAGACTAGAGAAATAAAATGTACAACAGATGACACAAAGAGCTGTGGCATCTTTAACTCAGCAATTTTGTAGTTGATTGCCCATCAAATCTACTTTGTCTGTTTGCAAAAATGGGTATTTGATGCAAAGGACCCAAGGGCCTTATTCCTTTGCTGATGTGTAAAGGAATAAACACCAGTTGCCTTATGCTTCAATGTGTTTTCCCCTGTTATTATTATTCATATTAATAGTGGTATTGTTATCTGATGTACATATCATACTTTATGAAGTAACAGAAGGGGGAAAACCATACCTCTGCCCAAAGGAGATTGCAGTTCCTATTAATGCAGGTAGTCCTTTACTTACAGTTCGCTTAGTAACCATTCAAGGTTACAATGGCACTGAAAAAGGTGACTTACGACCATTTTTCACACGGCCATTGCAGCATCCCATTGTGATGATTTACATTTGGATGCTTGACACCTGGCTCACATTTATGGCCGTTGCAATGTCCCGGGGTCATGTGATCACATTTTGCAACCTTCTGACAAGCAAAGTCAATGGGGAAACCAGATTCCCTTAATGCTCGTATTACTATTTTAATAACTGCAGTGATTTACTTAACAACTATGGCGAGAAAAGTCGTACAATGAGGCAAAACTCACTTAACAGAGGACTCACTTAGCAACATAAATTTTGGACTCAGTTGTGGTTGTAAGTTGAGGACTATCTATAATATTATTATTATTTAACTATAAATGTCACCTGACTCCCAGTGACTTTGTGAATCTGTCACGGTTGCTGGCACCCTAATTTTGTCTGTCTCATCCTCTTTATGATTTTAGACATAGTTTTGAGACTCTGCAGCTGCCAAAAAAGCCAACACAGTGCTAGACTGTGTTAACAGAGGGATAGAATCAAGATCACATGAAGTATTAATACCACTTTATAATGCCTTGGTAAGGCCATACTTGGAATATGGCATCCAGTTTTGGTCACCACAATGTAAAAAAGATGTTGAGACTCTAGAAAGAGTACAGAGAAGAGCAACAAAAATGATTAGGCGTCTGGGGGCTAAAACATAGAAGGAACGGTTGCTGGAATTGGGTATGTCTAGTTTAACGAAAAGAAGAACTAGGGGGGACATGATAGCAGTGTTCCAATATCTCAGGGGCTGCCCCAAAGAAGAGGGAGTCAAGCTATTCTCCAAGGCGCCTGAAGGCAAGACAAGAAGCAACAGATGGAAACCAATCAAAAAGAGAAGCAACCTAGAACTTTCCTGACAGTGAGAACAATTAATCAGTGGAACAACCTGCCTCCAGAAGCAGTGAATGCTCCAACACTGGAAGTTTTTAAGAAGAGACTGGACAGCCATTTGTCTGAAATGGTATAGGGTTTCCTTCCTGAGCAGAGGGTTGGACTAGATGACCTTCAAGGTCCCTTCCAAATTTATTATTATATTATATTATATTATATTATAGTATAGTATAGTATAGTATAGTATAGTATAGTATAGTATTGTATTGTATTATATTATATTATATTATATTATATTATATTATATTATATTATTACTCTGGGTAGGTTCACATGGAAGTGAGAGATATTTTAGCACTAAGTTTTGGACTTTGTAGGGAAAAAAAACCCACCTTATAGTTAAAAAGCCACATAGTTCAGAAACATACCCAAGAGCTCAAAAGAATATCCTGAAGGATAAGCTGTTAATAAATCTTCTAAAAAGCTCTTCAGATGCTTTCTAAAACAGACACTTTTGAGAGATTTACTAGCTGACTGCCAGGATGTGCTAAACAATGGTTTATTGAACAAATCACAGTTGGGCTGGGCTTTATGCCTTGCTAAGCTACAAAACCTTTTTCACTCATAGGACCCTAATTCTGAGCAGACAGATGTGGAGTTGTGCTGCTTCTGTTCCTTGGAGACAGAAGTCCAACTGCTTTTAATGGGAGATGCCAATCTGTGATCAGCAAATGACTGTTGAAACTATTTATTAAGAAGCTGCAGTAAAAGTGCTACACTCAATTTGCCAGCAAATTTGGAAAACTCAACAGTGGCCACAGGATTGGAAAAGGTCAGTTTACATTCCAATTCCAAAGAAAGGCAATGCCAAAGAATGTTCAAACTATCGCACCATTGCAATCATTTCACATGCTAGTAAAGTTATGCTTAAAATCCTACAAGCTAGACTCCAGCAGTATGTGGATCGAGAACTACCAGAAGTACAGGCAGGATTTCGAAGAGGCAGGGGAACTAGAGATCAAATTGCCAACATACGCTGGATCATGGAGAAAGCTAGGGAGTTCCAGAAAAACATCTACTTCTGCTTCCTTGACTATGCAAAAGCCTTTGATTGTGTGGATCACAACAAATTGTGGCAAGTTCTTAAAGAGATGGGAGTACCAGACCATCTCATTTGTCTCTTGAGAAACCTATATGCGGGTCAAGAAGCAACAGTGAGAACCGAACACGGAACCACTGATTGGTTCAAAATTGGAAAAGGAGTCCGGCAAGGCTGTATACTGTCGACCTGCCTATTTAACTTATATGCAGAGCACATCATGAGAAAGGCAGGGCTAGATGAATCAAAGTTGGAATTAAGATTGCCGGGAGAAATATCAACAACCTAAGATATGCAGATGATACCACTCTAATGGCAGAAAGTGAAGAGGAACTAAAGAGCCTCTTGATGCGGGTGAAGAAGGAGAGTGCAAAAGTTGGCTTGAAACGCAACATTAAGAAAACCAAAATCATGGCATCCGGCCCTCTCAATTCCTGGCAAATAGATGGGGAAGAAATGGAGGTAGTGACAGATTTTATTTTTTTGGGCTCCAAGATCACCTCAGATGGGGACTGCAGCCAAGAAATTAAAAGACGCTTGCTCCTGGGGAGGAAAGCTATGGCAAATCTCGACAGCATTCTAAAAAGCAGAGACATCACCCTGCCAACAAAAGTACGCATAGTCCAGGACATGGTTTTCCCAGTTGCAATGTATGGCTGTGAAAGTTGGACCATAAGAAAGGCTGAGCGCCAAAGAATGGAGGCCTTGGAACTCTGGTGCTGGAGGAGACTCCTGCGAGTCCCCTGGACTGCAAGGCGATCCAACCGGTCAGTCCTGGAGGAGATCAACCCCGACTGCTCCTTAGAAGGCCAGATCCTGAAGTTGAAACTCAAATACTTTGGCCACCTAATGAGAAGGAAGGACTCACTGGAGAAGGGCCTAATGCTGGGAAAGATTGAGGGCAATAGAAGAAGAGGACGACAGAGAATGAGATGGCTGGATGGAGTCACTGAAGCAGTAGGTGTGAATTTAAATGGACTCCAGAAGATGGTAGAAGACAGGAAGACCTGGAGGAACGTTGTCCATGGGGTCGCGATGGGTCAGACATGACTTCGCAATTAACAACAACAACAATTCATTACTGAGGTTTCGTAGCAAAAATATATTTGCTTGTATGTGTGATCAAGTGCATACAGGTAATCCTTGACTTATGACCGTGATTGTGTTCAGAATTATGGTAGTAAATTGTTACAGTCGTTAAGCGAATCACCACATGACTACACCTGATTTGGCAACCTTCATTATCTGCAGTCGTTAAGCGAATGTGAAGTTGTGAAGCAAATCCGTTTTATCTAATGGGCATTTTTTGTGAGGAACTATGGCCCCTTCATGATTTGTGGACTTCAACTCCCAGAATTCCTGAGACAACCATGCTGGCTCAGGAATTCTGGGAGTTGAAGTCCACAGGTTATAAAAGGGCCATAGTTCCCCACCCTTGCTGTAAAAGGTGAGTCGGTTGCCAAGCACCCAAAATGTGATCATGTCATCATGTGTGTTGGTCACATACTTTTGGGAGAAGGGCTGCTGTGACTCTGAATAGTCTAAACAACTGGCTGTTAGGTAAGGATTACCTGTAAATAAATAATTTTGCAGGTTGTAGGCTATCCCGGTGAAGATGCATATTACTTATTTTCTTATTTTGAATAAAATGCTCTAAAAATAGTGCAAATAAACTAAGAGAGCAATGGAAGCATCCTTTCATTGAAAAGGCCTAATGACAAAAATGGCTTGTCCATGAGTACATGTGTTTCTTCTACAAAAATCGAAGTGAGGGGTCCTTAGTGTTTGCTGAGTTTAGTTGTTTTCTTTCACACATTTCGATACCCAGTTAGGTGACATGATCAGTATTAGTAAGAGCTTTGCTCTTAGTTTATACTCTAGTGGGTTACTCTGTCAGTGTTGATGGGAGTGGTCTTGGCTGGACTGTTACTATTACCTTGTTTGACAGTACCTTGATTGGGGCATTGTTCACTTCTTGATTGTTGGTCTGATGTTAATCTTGGTGTTAATCCATGCTCATCTGGATATTGATTGCTGGTGGGGAGGTGTTTTGGTCTTTTTGTTCCCTTGTTGGCTTGTTGGTTGTCTCCTTCGAGCAGGGGTCTTCAAACTTGGCCCTTTTGTGACTTATGGACTTCAACTCCCAGAATTCCTCAGCCAGGCACGCTGGCTGAGGAATTCTGGGAAGTGAAGTCCACAAGTCATAAAAGGGCCAAGTTTAAAGATCCCTGCCTTCGAGTATGTCTATGTGCCCGATGATGGTCGATTTGTCAGAGGACCAGGCTTCCAGGAATTCTCGAGCATTTTTTGGATTTTTCTTGGTTTGGGAGAGTCACAGTTTTCCAGTTAACTATGGTTAAGTCTATATACATGTTGTGAAATTAAAGAGTTTTCATCATGTCTTCTGATTGCCAGTTGGCATTTATGGATATGTTCTGCTAGTCTATAAATATTAAAGTCCTAGTGTTCCACTGGTTCACCTCATCTAAAAAGGTTAAATCAGGGCAACTGGACCAAAGTTTATTAAACTCAGACCTTTCATTACTCATCCAAGTAACTTCTTCAGCCAAAATGAAAAATTTACTCTAAGTTAGGCAGAGTCAGAGAGTTGTTGGAATGGACTTGTTCTCCTGAATTCTTATTTGCTTCTCCAGAATGAAGAAATGGCCCGCCAACTGGTAGAACTGGGTTTTCGAGGAAGTGGAGAAGTCCTGAAAAGGGAAGATTTTATCGCCAGGAAAATAGCTGCTGAAGCATCCAGGATCTCAGAGAGACAACAGCAGAAGTAAGCAACCACTTGGTACTAAAGGACCATCTCAGAAGATGTGAAGAAGGGTAATTGAAGATGAATAAATCTATCAGTTAAAGCAGGAGTCTCCCGACTTGGCAATTTTAAGACTTGTGGACTTCAACTCAGGCCCAGAAGACTTAAATCCAAAGGTGCTTTTTCAAAAGGCAACTGGACTTTGCTTTTCCTTGAAGATGTTTCACTTCTCATCCAAGAAGCTTCTTCAGTTCCTCAAGTCCAGTTGCCTTTTGGAAAAACACCTTTTGGACAACCATGACCTGGGTGACGGAGAATCTCCATAGACACAAGTCTTAAAGTTGCCCAGTTTGGTTAAAGCATAGCTGTTCAAAAATGAAGAAACGGTGTGCATCATGAAGTCTTCTAGATGAAGAATCTGAAGAAGCTTTCCCCAACCATGGTTTTCTTAACGAGTTGGAGTTAATTCTCCAGTCATGCTTATTGGCTATTATGGGAGTTGAAGATGAGTTTATTTAAGGAGCGCCTGGTTAGAGAAAGCTGTCTTAAATAAATTCATATTCGTAACTCCTAGTGCATGTTTTTTAGCTGGAGAATTTCTAGCTCAGCTATTTATTTCCATTTCTGAAGGTCCGTCAATAGGCTGAAGGCTTTCATAAAAGGAAAGTGCTCTCCATGAGGGAGACTGCCTATGAGTATGTCTGCATGGTTGATGTTGGGGGTCTTTCCTCTTTCCAACCTTCCAGATGCAGGCAGGAATTTGGCCATATTTCTCTACTGGACACCCTGGGCAAAATTCTTCCCCCTGAAGACATGTGACACAATGTGTGTGGTTTGCTTCTTTCCATGAATATTGGCGACTGTTGAAGAAACACCAAATAGGGCTCCTCGGTAATCAGATACTTTCTTCATTCACCCCAAAGGACAACTGTTTACATTCCCAAAACAAAATGCATCTCTAATTCAGAAAAAAATCACATAGCTTGGGAATTGAGCAAACTCGTTTTAGCGCTGGAAAAAAAAAGAATGGAAACTTTCCCCTTATTCTAAGGTTAAAGAACCCAATAACTGAGATGGAAATACAGGTAGTCCTCGACCTACGACCACAATTGAGTCAAAAATTTCTGTTGCTAAGCGAGACAGTTGTTACGTGAATTTTGCCCCCTTTTGCAACCTTACTTGCCACAGTTGTTAAGTGAATCATTGCAGTTGTTAAGTTAGCAACATGGTTGTTAAGTGACTCTGGTGTCCTCAGTGATTTAGCTTGTCAGAAGGTCACAAAATGTGATCACATGGCCCTGGGACACTACAAACAGTCATAAATACATGCCAGTTGGCAAGAATCCGAATTCTGATCACATGACCACGGGGATGCTGCGATGGATGTAAGTGTGAAAAACAGTCATAAGTCATTTTTTCAGTGCCATTGTAACTTCGAATGGTCACTAAGTGAACCATTGTAAGCCAAGGACTACCTGTATACCAATCAAAGGAGAACTCCATTATTTGTCTTACAAATAACAGCAGAGAGTTTATCAGTATAGTCAGTGCTTTTCTCTACACACATGTAGGGCTGTACCCCAAAATTGTTGTTTCCAACTTTACAGCAGCCTCTGAATGTTGACAAAGAGAAGCAGAATTTGAGTGGTCCTTGGTGCTCTCTGACCTTGCTTGTTTTCTTGCAGACATTTCATTACCCAAACTAGGTAACATCATCAGTGCTGGTAAAAAGTGGGGTTTGCTGTCAATTTATATTCTGGTGGCTTGCCCGTCAGTGTTGGTGGGGGTGGTCTTAGATGTCCTTTTGTTGGGCTGCTTGCTGTTGGCTTCTTTGGCAGTTTCTTGATTGGGGTATTGTTTGCTTGATTGTTGGTCTGATGTTAACCTTGGAGCTAATCTATGCTGATCTGGGTGCTAACTGGGTCTTGGGTTGGGTATTTTTGTTCCCTTTTGGAGCTGAATTCCATGGGTCCAGGCATTGTTTACCTTAAAGAATCTTTATTTGAGAAGCATAGCATCGGCACTAACACAGGCGAAGCCAAAAACTGGATTCCCCTCCCCTGAGCACAAAGTATCAAAGCACAATTTCCTCCTCCAATTAACAGTCATAAATCACATTCTCTAATTAGTTTGAAATGCAGGCTCTCCCTCCAGTTCCTCAGCCCACCAATTCTTATCATCTCTTCTTTCATTAATCTTGGTTCACACAGTAGGTCCAGTATTAAAAAGCGTTGACACTGGGTGATAGTCTCTTTTGTATAGTCTATAGATGTATAACAACAACAACAACAACAACAATAATAATAATGTTGGAAGGGACCTTAGAGGTCATCTAGTCCAACCCCCTGCTCAGGCAGGAAACCCTATATCATTTCGGACAAATGGCTGTCCAGTCTCTTCTTAAAAACTTCCAGTGTTGGCACATTCACCACTTCTGGAGGCAGGTTGTTCCACTGATTAATTGTTTTAAGTGTCAGGACGTTTCTCCCTAGTTCTAAGTTGCTTCTCTCCTTGGTTAGTTTCCATCCGTTGCTTCTTGTCCTGCCTCCAGGACATTAATGTTGTTAATGTCTGTGTGTCTGTTGATGGCTAATTTGTCAGAGTGCCAGGCTTCTAGAAATTTCCTGGTGTTTTGGGACTTGGCTTGGTCTAGGATGGTCATATTTTCCCAATTAAAACTGTGGTTAACTCTGTCTATATGTTGTGAAATTAAAGAATTTTCATCATGACTTCTGACTGCTAGTTGGTGTTCATGGGTGCGTTTTGTCAGTCTTCTGCCTGCTTGTTCTACATAGTGGTGGTTGCAGTCCTTACATTGTATGTTGTAGATGACTCCTGCTTTTTCTTCTGGGGTTGTTGGGTCTTTGGTCTGCTTAGAATGTCTTGAAGGGCTTTAGTTGGCTTGCAAGCTATGCTGAATCCATGTGGTTGTAAGAGTCTGTTGGCAGAAGTTGGTGAACAGTTTCATGAAACAGGAAATGTCAGCGAGTGCATAAGGAAAAGGTCTTGCCCTGGATAACAGACCAACTGCAGCATTATCCATAAAGATACTAGAATGTTTTTCCTTTTCACTACTTGCTTTGTAGTTCTGTATCATTAACTGCAGATGATTGAATGCGTACTGAGATTTGTGTTCTCCCTGTGTTGGGAGTATACAGGTAGTCCTTGACTTATGAACACAACTGGGGCAGGAACTTCGTTGTTAAACAATGCGGTAGTTTATTTTATTTATCCAATTTATTGGTCGGCCATTGTACCACTGGGTAACTCTGAGGCCTAGTTAGTCACATCTGATTTTACAACCTTATTTGCCTTAGCGGTCATTAAATGAATTCAGTTTTGCTTGTCAGAAGCCCGTTGGGAAGGTCACAAATGGCGGTCATGTGATCCTGGGATACTCCAACCATTATAAATACATACTAGTTGCCAAGCACCTCAAGATTACGGTACCTCCAGGATGCTGTAATGGCTGCAAGTGTTAGAACGAGTTGTAAGTCACTTTTTTCAGCGCTGTTGTAACTTTGAATGGTTGTTAAGTCAAGAGCTACTTGTACCTTAGTTAGAACCAGCAATGAACTCTTGAATGGATTTTTGACACTTGCTGCCTTCTTCCTGCTAACCACCCATCTTGAAAATCCAGATCCCTGGGTCCTGTGTTGGGGGATTTATATTCCTCTTTTTTTAATTTTTCTTTTTGGAAGTCTTTCTTTGCTTAGACAGCTGTCAGACATATGGTGTCCCCTTGGCTGTCAAATTTAAAGTGAAACAGGTTGGGGCAAAACATGCTTCACTTTTCTTTATCCCCAGCTTTGCATAATCAACCACTGACCTCTGCCTTTCGTATGTTTTTTTGGAAGATAATGAGAGGAAAAGTTGCAAATTCTCAGCTGCTGAGGAATATTTTTTTCATTTGAACTAGCAGTTTGAGGATTTTTCCCCCCTTTTTTTCTTTTGATGTTAAACTTGTTTTTCAAAGATGAAGGGGTGTTCCCTTGGCAGTTGCTGGCTCCATGTCTTCTAATCCTGGATTAGCCATTTCAATTCACTTGCTAGTTTCTTGCAACAAGAAGAGTGCTGGCCTGAAAGTTAAGAAGTTGTTGTGTAGAATTGGTAAAGCGTTTCACAGGAGACAACTTGCCCCATTGCTACAGTGGTACCTCGGTATTCATCATTAATTGATTCTGGGAGGGACAGTTAGTACCAAAAAGGATGAATACCAAACAAATATTTCCCATAAGGAATAACATACAGATAATCTGCAACTTACAACCACAGTTGAGCTTAAACTTTCTGTTGCTAAGTGAGAAATTTGTTAATTTGCCCCATTTTACAACTTTTCCTGCCACATTTGTTAATCACTGCACATTAGTAATACGGTTGTTAAGTGAATCTGATTTCCCCATTGACTTTGCTTGTCAGAAGGTCACCAAAGGGGATCACATGATCCTAGGACACTGGCAACCCTCGGGAATATGAGTTAGTTGCTAAGCATCTAAATTTTGATCATCTGACTGTGGGAAGTCAGTTTGTCCCCCAGAGAAAGAAATATTTTTGGAAATATTTAAAAGACAGAATATATTTCCCTAAAGGATTTAAAGGCAGAAACCAACCCCCCCCCCCCAAGTCTCTGTCCCAAACAGAAACCGAGTCTGCAGAAATGCAGATGTCAGAAAGACTAGAGTCAGGAAACTGAGATTAGGAAGAAAGATTCCTTGAATCAACAACCCCTCACACCAAAAATCTAAGAGTCATCAGCCACAGCCCCAGGGAAGCAGGATATAACCTTTGGAACATAATAGGATTAACCCACCACCATCAGAATACCAGAAAGGCACACTCACACTCAGGTTAAAGTTCACGCCAGAGGAATAACTCCAAACAAAAGGCTCCAGAGGGTATAAAAACCCACTCCCTACATGTGCTCACTCTTTTTTCTTCCAGAGCCATCTTTCTGTCTGGCTCTCCTCTTCAATAAACTGCAACCTTCTTTCTAAAGCAGCCACCATGTTGTTTATTCCTGG